AAAGGCAGGCACGTTACCCGGCAGGTAGAACACAGGGCTGGGTTCTTGTCTTGGTTCTGCTACTGCCTGGCTCGGTGACCTCAGACAATTTATTTCCCCTTTCTGTGCCTGTTTCCCCCTCCCCCCCAGTCTGTAAAATGGGGTCAAGGATACTGACCTCCTTAATCAGGCTGTGATCTCCAGTGAAAAGGACTGGGTATCATCATGATCAGAGCTGCCCAGCAGTGATGCAAGTCCCAATGTAGGCAAGGTGCAAGTGGCTTCCACGCTGATGATGCTCGAGCAGTTACAGCAGAAATCTGGGGGGAAAATAACTATCTGACCGTAAAAATCTCCAATGGAGGATTGACCAACAAGGGCCAGTGGGGACACTGCCTGGGAAAGACTGTTTTTGCTGTTTCCTCTCATCCCCAACAGAAGACATACACACAGGCACACCACCCACCATTCAGTCCCAAACCTCAGTCCCTTAAATCACAGTGGAAAAAGCAGGAAAGTTTCTTTTAAGTTGAGGTCCAATAAAGACTTTAGAACAAGATCTCCCCAAACAGGAGTGTTAGTTACCATGGGGTGCTGGAAAACCACAGTCCAGTTGGATTCAGTCTCATCACATTTCTTGGTTTCTTCCCAATAGCCACTACTCTCAGATACCATTTCTTTGCCATAAATGTAGAGACTTCCAATTGAGCTTAATAATAGTTCTCACCTTCTTCTAACCTCAGCACTTATCGTTCCAGCTGGAGAATTAGCCAGGGGGAACAGTCCTGCCTCCTATCAAACAATAGTTTACTTCCTAGCAGGAAAAGGCTCCTAATTGGGTTTCCACTGTTTACTCATGGTTGATAGGTCCCACATGGAAGCAGGAAGCTGTTCGCCTGGGATGCTAAAGGGCAAATTGTTCCTGTTGCTTGGGAATTCGCTGGATCCTAAGAGTCCCTACCCTGCCATCCCATTATGAAGTCTGCAGACAGCATCTTAGTGCACAGTTTAATGCTGCCAGAAGCGCATGCATTCAGCTGCACAGCACAGAGCCTGGGGAGCTGCACTAGACACCCAGTAGTCCATGCTGATGGCTGCAGGCTGGTATGAAGGGGAGTGGTGGTGCACCTATGCTGCCTGCTGGTGCCCTGCCCTGCTACCCCCTATAAACCCTGCTACAGGTAGACATAACAGCACCCTGAACCTGGGCCTCTACAACCCAAATCCTCCCAGTATCTCCTGCACACCATGATACTTGGTGCCCGATTTTCTTTTAATGAGAAAAAATAAACTGCAGCATTATATTACTGCGGCACTAGCAGGTTCCTATCAAGGAATGAAGTGAACTTAAAAATAAAGAGTCAGCTGCTAGGCTGTGCCCAGGCAGCAGTGCTTTGGCTGCAGATGCTGAAATAGGCTCAGTTCAATGCAGAGGTCTGTACGATGCCACTGCCAAGTTCTTGTAAGAGAAAAGAATTTCACGACTTGGTGCAATATCACCATGTAAGGGCAACTGCCCATCCTGTACAGTACAAGTACAGTTCATTCCCTTTCATGGCTCTATGGGATGTGAACTATTCCTGTCACAGGAAAACAAAAGGCATTTTACACTGCAGTGATACCAGGGAAAGCATCTCCAGCTGTCGGGTGTCAAAGGGGCACTTGTATTTACGGAAGAATTTTATAAATCTTGATGCAACAGAAAAGTCTGAAAAGCTGAGTCCTTAGTGATGAGGGTTTGGAAACATCCCCGTCTCAACACACACTACAGCTGCCACCTCCCGATTCTCACTAGAAAATGTAAGTGAGAGATGTTTGCCTGGCTTCATTACCCAAGCTACTTAAATGCAATGTACAGAAGTTGGCAAACAGCGTATGAAGCAGAGAATAAAGCTGACATTACAGCAGTAAATTATTTCAGCCACAGATCTGACTGAGGCAGGAAGGTGGGAATTTCATTTAATACAGATGTTGGTATTTTAATTGATTTGCATTACATTAAATATGACATTTGAGAGAGCTTATCTCATGCCTGTCTGGGGCTTTTATGTTCCCAGTTTGCACTGTGGGAATACCATAAGAATGCATGGGGATTATTAAGCATCTCTGAGAACTAAAAGCAACTCAGTAATATTTAGGCTCTTTGGTAAGCAGGGCATTTGTCACCTATAAAGGTTTATTCCATTTATTCTAAATTTTATTCTAATGCCAAGGCACAAATAGCTGATTTAAGAGATTTCAGCAAAAAAGATTCCCAAGTCCAATTAAAACGCAGCTCCTGTTACTGCAAGCAACTAACAAAGGCTGGAGAAGGGCCAATGTTAAATCTCTCCCATTCAAAGAGTCTTTCTGGAGAATGCTTTCTGAAGTCTGCCTGCTGGAGTATCTTAAAAAAAAGGGGTAGAGACAAAAAACTGATCACTGCCCCAGCAAAGGTGGTTCCAGAGGATGGCTTTGCCAATTCACTTTCATACATCCATGCACTGAGCATATCACCTGAGCAATCCTTCAGCTGAACATGCAAATGTGCTTTACCTTCATAGCTGCTACTGCAAACATAAATGAGAAAGTTTAAGCCTTAAGCGCTGGCATTTCAGGCCTTCTGAGAATTAATAGAGGGGAGAGCAAAACGTTAACAAATATAGGGCTGGCTTAACAAGTGGACAAGGTTTTTGCTTCTGATGGTCTGAGCAGGGTTTTAAGCTTAAATTTCTCACACCCACACAAATCCTCAATCCACAAGGAATAAGCTACATTGAAGATTCTCAATCCAGAGCTAGTTGCTAAACATATGTACCCAAACACCCTGCATCTGTTCAGACAACATGGGAGAACTGCAAACGCAACATGAGCCGAGATGAGGTATGATGTACAGAAACAACAGCAGACTTGCACTCCTCTTTTATAAATTCCACACATTTTCAAAATCAAACCAGGCTAAGAAAATGAGCGCAGATGTGACCCTTGTCTCACCTTATTCAGTCCTAAAAGTTGGTCCAATAAAAAGAGATCACCTACAAAACTCCTCAACTTTCTCCTAAAACCAAGTATGCTCAGTACATGAGGTCTACAATCCCAAGGCAGCCATTGCCTTGTAAAGCTGGAGACAACATTGGATTGATAAAAGTTGGACGGCTTGGATAGTCAAGTGTGATGACATTGGGAATGCAGAATTCCTACAGCTGAAGAATAGCTGTGTGGTGCCTCTTACTGTAAGAACAGACATACTGGAAGGGACTACACCATAAGTGGATGGGAAGGTTTTTCATTGCTTAATTTAAACATATATGCAAGTCACACCTCCAAGTGATGGCAGGGAGATTGCTTCAGCTCTATCTCCCCCCTCTCTCCGCCCCCAGTTTCTTATTTTAAGACACAGGGCCATTGCTGAAATAGCTTTTATCCTTACAACTTCCAAGAGGTTTACAGCCAAAGCCAACCAAAGTCCTGTGAGCATTTTTGAGTAAATGTAATATTCCCTTAAAATCAAGGTCCCACTAAAAAAATCCCACCTACAAAACGGAACCCCCCCCAGGTCACTTTTGGCTTGATTCACATTTACTTATAACCCTATTTCTAGCGGTTTAACACTAAGAATTTCAGGATATGGGATGTGAAAGGAACTACATCTCTTTTAATGCCAACCATTCCCTCCCCTTCTCCATTTGTGTCATCTACTCTCATAGCTGCTGCTTTTGTTTTAATACTTTAGCACAGTATGGGTCAACATTTCTCATCACCACCTGCTGCAAGTAAAATATACAGATCTACGTTTGCTGTAAGAGATGCATCAGATATTGGTAAGCCTAAATAATCTGTGTGCTCTGTGAGGGTGACAGTATTTGACCTTAAGGTTTGAAGAAAGGTGAGCAAGGTTACCTTGGCTTTATGTTGCTGTAAGGTCTTCAAAACCTTCCAACTCCCCACTCTTCCGCTTGCCTTTCCTAACCCCTGGGGGAGGGGTGGTGGAGAAACAGTTGTAGCTTATTCTCTGCAAGGGTTCACACCATAAATACAGGACATGAAACTTAAGATGCTTGTTTAGGAAGCAGTAGCTCTGGCCAAGAGTACTGGGGCCTGTTCCAACAATGGCATTACACACAGCCCCTAGCGATCTATAAGTGTGTTAGTAACTGATACCAGAGATGAGGGTATGCACCTAGATGGATTTACTATGTGATATTTAGTTTCTCACCGCCCTATGTGAGAATACCACTTTATAAATACAATACCAAGGCCCTATGTCACAAAGTTGATAAATCAAAGTTAGAATCATTAAGGAAATGGTACCTGAAACTCTGGTGCCTTTAAGCCCATGAAGCTGGGGCAACTTCAGACACCTGAGAACTGTTGTTATCTTGTAGAAATGCCTTTCTTAACATGCATGAAGCAGCGTTGCTGCAGTTCTACCCTTTCAGCCTTGCAGATCAGACGTACTTCAGATCCTAGATTGGAGGTGAAGCTTAGACAGTTTAAAGCCTCATGCCCATACTGCAAAGTCTGCTATCTCCACCGGGCGTCAGCACTGCCTGAATCCCAGCCAAGCCAATCCAGTTTCTGCTTTCACAAATGCCTGCTTCATAAATACAGTATTGAATTCCCCACTATGCCCACTCACCAACTTGATGCTCACCATTGAAATAAAACCCCTGAAGCATGATAAACTTTGAAACAACTCTTTCAGACCTGAAGGCAAGAACAGCTGCATGCTTCAGGTCAAAAGTGCAATGTAGCGGATGTGAGCCAGAGACGGGGAACTGACAGATAACGGAGGCAGCGTTAGCATGGGTAGTCTCATTCCAACTGGCTGCACTCCCCTCTGAGGTCTGCTCGTCAGATAGCTAAAAATAACATGGCAGCAGGTAAAAAGTTTAATAGGCTATTAAAGAACCTGTAGAATGATTACTAAGCTGTTTATGGAAATGTTTAGATATTCTAAATTATTTTCTCAGACAGCGAACGTCGTCATTTCCCCACCTCTTAACACTGAGACTGTATATGAAAGAAATGAAGTTGTTCTTGAACATTTTGGTCTCTACCAGCTTTAATCAATCTGGATAAAGTGTGCCAAGAAACAAACATTCTGCATAACGACACACGATAAGTTTTCAGTGGGAACCTAGAGAAGGTAGCAATGTCAGAAACGCATACTGCAAGCCACTATCAGCAGAAGCTGAACCTACATTTTAATCCCTCAGACAAATTAAGTTACAAACAGGTCATGTGTTATTCTCTTCTAGGCAAGCAATTCTACAAGGAACAGGCCAACAGATATCCTGCCACAGTAGAGGGGAGTTTCCAGACTGCTATGTCAGCAGAACATTCAACTCTTTATCTAAGTGACAGAGAAAGCAATTGTAATACTGTAGCCCATGCTTAGAACCAAACACTAGATTTGCATGAGAAAATTTAAAACACACAGACCCAAGGAATAAAGGGTAAATTTAAGTTTTCAAGTAAGACACTTTTACATGTCAGACTGCCAGAATATTCCACCCATAGAAGTAGGCAGTTCTGTAAATTTTCAGCACAATTCTTGAGCAAAGACATGAACACATTTCACACAAGATGGGTTTGAACTGTTTATTTAATAACAAAATGTTCCATATCAATTTCTTCAATTAAAAGTTCCTGGGGAAAAAAAAAAAAAAAAAAAAAAAAGAGACAAGAATCGTTACAAATTCATAATCCGTTTCAGCAGCTTCAATAAATATTCCTGTTCAACTTCATAAGCATCTTAAAGAAACTAAAATACGTATATTTTCATCAAGATCTGAGCTTGAGAAACGGGGGGAACCAATTCCACTGCAAAGGTTGCCAGGGGCAGGATAACATACTTACTTGGAAACAATTCCATCGTTCTTTGCCAGACGCAGAATGGAGTCATCCGATTCTCCCTTTAATCAGAAAAAAAAATTGTTTGTAATTACTAATTTTTCAGTTAGAAATTTAAAAAAAGAGAGATGCAAGATAGACCACTTTAAGCGTAATTTTGCCAGAATATACTTTGGGGAATTTAATATTTAAAATAAAACCATTTAGAACAAACATGTAAAGATTATACTACAAGGGAATGTGCTTATGGTGCGTCTCTGAGGCACTGTTCCAGATAAACCCTAACTGACATTTGTTTTATAATTTCACCTTTAAAACAGCTTTAGATGTCCTGAGAAATCCTGGAGTGTCCTAATAAAAGCCTCTATATCCAGAGAGAATGTAGAGTGCTGCTGCTTTCTGCACTACTAACTTCCTTCCATTCCCTGAGTGCACTTAGCTATATTCCTTTGTACACTCATACGGGACCTGGTCCAGCACCCATTAAAATTAAAGGAAGTCTTTTCACTGACTTAAATGAGAGCTGAATAGGGCCAAGCCTGTTCTCCCATACTGTGCACGCCAAGCAGCATAGTCTTTTTGATAAAAGCACTGTCCACAGGGAACTGGACCTAAACATGAACTGTTCACAGAGATTAAACATCCACCATAAGAATAATGAGGCCAATCTAAAAGGCAACATACTTGGCTCCTAATTTTCAAGAAAATATTCTTACCATTCTACGGATTGCTCCACAGATGGCGTATGTTTTGAACTGGCCATTGACTCTGCCTGTGACTTTGTCAACCTGAAATTACAATCAAATAATTTTTAGACATTTTGGGTGTGCTCAGTTCTTGCCATGTCCTACCCACCCTTAAAAACAACAGTAAAGTGTCCAAGGTGAAACCTTTTGCAGAGAAATGAATACCTGGTTGGAATTTCAGAAATCACAAAGCTGAGCCAACTGCCTATGTTAAAAGTGGCAACTATGGGTTTCTTTCCCTCACAGGGAATGTTATATAACATATTTACTACAAAGAACCACCGAGCCTTCCTGATATAAAACATTTTTAGAGTAATTTTTTTGGGGCCAATACAAATCGCATACAAGTGGAACTTTAAGGAAATCAGCTCCTTCAGGAAGAATGTGTTTATCTGAATTTAGCACTGTATGTAACTGTGGGAAAAAGTCTTGTTCCACTGACAGATAATCCACAAGCCAGAGACAAAAGATCTCATATTTTAAACTTGTGGGGAAGTTTATCAGAAAGGGATCACTGAGCACTAGGCAGTGTAAAACTAAGCCGCACAGAAACCCTGGAAATATCACAAGGATTTGTTTTTCATTTTAGCTAATCCCCATCTATCCAAACATAAGAAACTCTTATTTTTTAGACTAGGGATCAGTAGAGAAATGAAAATAAACAAAAGAATTTTCCTTAACATTTGCAGAAAATAAAATCATTTTTAAAAACATCTAATATTTTTTCACACTAAAAGTTTGCAGAGGCTTTCCCTTGGCCTAGAGGGCTTTATGCAGCTATTTAGTGAGTCGCATCATCCCCACTATGAAGTAATAAAGATTATGTGAAACCTGACATTAACAGTTATGTGATATTACCCATACAGCAAACTGAAAAGATAGAGTCCAAGACTAATGATGGCAGAATAAGGAGCCATGGTCTCCAGTTGCATCAAAGGAAGTTTAGGTTAGATATTAGGAAAAAACTCTCTCACTAGGAGGGTAGCAAAACACTGGAACAGGTTACCCAGAGAAGCTGTGGAATCTCCATCCTTGGAGGCCTTTAAGACCCAGCTAGACAAAGCCTTGGTTGGGATGATCTAGTTGGGGTCAATCCTACTTTGAGCAGGGGGTTGGACTAGATTAGCGTTTCTCAATCTGTGAAGCGCCACGCAAAAGTGGGTTGCAAGAATAAGAAAGGGTTGCAAACAAAAACTTTCCAGCCTGCAAGGCGTTGCTTGGGCCCTCCCTTTCCCCCATGTCCGCCATACTCCCTCTGCCCCCCACGCTGCAGGGCTGGGGCAGGACTGGCCAATGATGTTTACAAAACAGGCTGAGAACCATCGGACTAGGTGTGACCTCCCGAAGTCCCTTCCAACCCTAATTTTCTATGATTCCATAATCATGAGTTCTATGCTTTTGCAGTTTGACATTACCATCATCCAGGGAAGTTTAATTATCAAGTTTTTCAACTATAAAGACAACCCTGTACAAAGTGCCAGAGGCAGGACTGCTAAAGTAAACTGCCAAAATAAATTAGATCCCACAACATGGAGAAGGTATTTGGCAAAGGAATTTGAGATAAGAGCGTGACGGCCGGAGGTTTTATACTAGATTCCAACTAAAAGGGAGGTACCAACTAGGTAAATATGTTCCAGAAGAAACTGTAAAGGTGGGTGACTAAAAATCTGTATTCAAATAGTGAGGGGCTGTGCGAAGCTTTGGTCCCCGATTGAATTTGGCAGAGATTCAGCCTGATTCGGTGACTAAATCTCCAAATCTGAATCAAAGCAAGAGTCCTTTTAATCTTTCCGAACCGAATTGGAACCCTCCGAATCCATTTGGAGAGATTCAGAAAGATTCAGATATAGATACAGCTTTACATGCTTATTCTACATACCTCAAGGTACCAGGTGGCTCGTGAATGCTGCGGCGGATGGAGCGTCCCACAGGAGGCTCCCCAGAGTGCTTGGCAGCAGACCTGGAAGTGGACCAGAAGCACTTCCAGTCCACTTAGGAGCCCCACCCCCCCTATCCCCCTGGCTTGGCAACTGGTGCCTCCTAGGTCGGGGGGGGGGGGGGGGGGGGTGTACTCTGGGTCCCCCCATGGCCACTTGTCAAGCTATGGGGGCACAGGTGGGCCCCCCACATGCTCCCCAGCAGACCCAGAAGTACTTTTGGTCCACTTCTGGGTTTGCCGCCGAGCACGTGGGGCAGTCCCCTGTGCTCCTGTGGGATGCTCCATCTGCCCCAGCATCGCAGCATTCACGAGCTGCACCTGGTACCTCAAAGTATGTAGAAAAAATATTCAAAGCTGTGTCTATGGCTGAATCACTGATTCTTTGAATCAGCATTGAATCTTCAGATTTGGCCAAATTGAGTTGGCGACAGTGATCCGAACCAATGAACTGAATCACTATCCTGGATTTGGGCTAAATTCGAAACAAATACGATCTGTTTCGCACACGCCTAGCAAGCAGTGCTTCACTGTCACACTAGAAATGTGTGTTAAGAAGCGTCGCCCAGGGAACCTGTTTTATTTAATTACTGACTTGGATGATGAACCAAGTCTAATAAAATCTGCAGATGACTGAACTGAAGGGAGTTGTCAGCACTTTGCAGAAGAGAATTTAAATTCAGCTTGACAGATCGGAGACACGCAGAGAAATCAACACAATGAACTGTACTAAAGATAAATGCAAAGTCCTACATTTTGGAAAGGGGGGAGGGAAAGGGAATCCAATGCACCAATATGAATGGCAGAATAACTGGTCAGAGAGCAGGTCTTGAAGGACAGGATCTAGGCTGTTACTATCGATTCATTCAGTTTATGGTCCATTATATGAAGCTGGTACAATGGAGAAATGTCCTCTTAGGATGCCAACCGAGTGTCAGTCACAGTGAGTAGTTATTGCGCTGATGGGCACAAGTTAGGTCTCAGCACTAGTTAGGTCTGATGGGCACTAGTTAGGACTAAGCTAGAACCAACCCTGCATCCAGTGTCCAGCACTGCGCTTCAAGAAGTATAAACAGAAAAATCAGAAGTCTGATTTGAAAGAAACAAGAAAAAGAGGTTGAGAAAATGTGACTGAAGAATGGTTTTAGTCTAGAACAGCAGTTCCCAATCTGTGGTATGGGTACCATCATTGGTATGCAGACAACCTGTTGGTGATACATTTTAACAGATTTATTATAATTACTTCATATGGCAAGAATTTGCTGGTGGGACTTATGGCTGAACCAAAAAAAAACCGCACTAGCGGTACTCAAGGTTGTACCATTTTAAATTGGCGGATGTGCAATCTATCAGAGTTTGGGAACCGCTGATGGATCCCACTTACGACCCAAAGGAGGGCCGTATCCAACACGGGCACGGCTGCTATATAGAGAGCTGCGATCAACTGTTCTCATGTGGGCTGGGCACAGAACAGCCAGTAAGCAGCCGAAATTAGCAGCAAAAATCTAGAGTAGATAAAAACTGACAACCAAGGCAAGTTAAGCAGTGGAACAGGCACCTACGGAGGCTGTAAAAATCTCTTTCATTTGAGAAAAGTTCAAATGTATATATAGCTTCTCTGTCTAAATTACTGTTTATTACATATATACATACACACACACACACACATACGTATGTATGTATGTTATATATTATATTTTATATCTATAATACATCTATCTATCTATATATATATATATCTATATCTATCATATACATAAAAATGAGACGGGGAAGCTATACACACACATACATGTACACACATACATACAGGCAGTCCTCGACTTGCAACGTTTCTAAATTGACACCCTGTTTACACTTTATGATGTCAATTTCGACTTCACAACGCTTGATGCCACGCCACGCCACGCCGCGCCGCGCCAAGGAA